GGAGTTTTTCCCTTCAAACAACAAGCTTTATTTCAGCAAAATTTAATGTCCTTACTTGATGGTTTCCTTTGCTATTGCCTTATGATCTTGGGAACCATCCTGCACAAGTACTTCAGTGGGTTGAGTTTAGGACTTTTTCGGGCACCTTGCATGAGGATTGCTCCACGATTCCCGTTTCCATTGGGTGAGGACAGACAACAAAAATGCTTGGATACGATTATATAAGAATGATGATAACGTGCCATTCGATTAAGAAAATGTGCTGGTATTACGAGGTCACGAGGAACCAGAAATCGTGCAGTAAGCTTTGACGTGCCAGCAAAAACTCCTAATGGAGTATCGATAGATAGATCACAAGAAAAGAGTAAGCAAAGGTAACCCAGAAGCAAGGACATTTGCTGAATTACAGACTGTTGTTCGGAAAGAGTGGGGATAAATTCCCAGACAAATTGTTAAGATTTTTGATTTTTCGGTGCTCAAACGAGCAAAGAAGGACGGTCCCGAAAGCACATGCAGGGATGTGGAACGGCATGTTGACAGATACCCCAACTTTTTTAAAATATCATCCGATACATTTTGTTTAAAATAGCTTAAATGAAATCAAGCAAACCATGCATGCAGTTATTAAACTAAATGCATTTAATTGAACCGGTAACCTTTGCGAAAGTTGGTAACGTAATTATGCAAAACATTGAACTTTTGGGCTTGTATATTCAAACGTTTGGTAAGTAACTGTAGCTAAATTGTAATTCTAAATTGTATACATATACGGGGGGGTAGGATTTGTGTTTCCGAAGCATCGGAAGAGCATTTTCCATCTCGTTATCAAAGTTGTGAATATCTTGCACTTAAAATTCAAGATTTTGAAATGCACTTTATAACTTTTTATAACTTCATCCCCCCCTGTTTTGAAGTAGCATTTTCTCTGTACACAATCACAAGTATGAATGAAAGGGTTTTGTTGCTAGTTTATCATATACAACATCTATATATACAATAATAAGGCAAACTGTTATACGGATAATATAAGTTGATTGTAATTGCCTGTGCATGCATGAAAGAAATCAAGTTTGATATTAAAAGAAATAGGATCCTCATAGCCATGCATGCATGGGTGAGGAAATTTTGACGGCCCTATAGTGACAGTAGTGACTTTCACTTACAATGAATAATCTCCAACCTGCAACGAAGTATGAACAAAATATGACGAGGTAAAACGAAGTATAATGATGTATATATATTATGGTATTTTTGTGACGATCTTAGCTAGCACAAAAGCTGGTTATGCAGGGGAGAAAATTTTGGAAATTAGTAAAATAACAAAGAGAGGTAATTTAGCCATGAAAATATGAATACTGGCGTGTAATTTGAAATGCACACAACAAGAGTGACCAACTATTAGCCTAAGGCTAAGTATAATTTCAAACTGTTGTGTCACAAAAATTGGTCGTCTGTCTAATTATAGCAGATATTTTGCTGCACAATCAATAATGTCAATCATATGCTGGATACGTTAGTGGTATTGTCATATTGGTTTTGGCCTTTGCCGGTCGTCCAGTTCTCTGGCAAACATTCATTCATCCTGATTAATGATTTAGTAATTTTCTTACCTTTAGAGCCAGTGAATCCACTCACAACGTCCTTTTACACTCTGACCTTAAACATACCCAAACCAGGAGAATATATCAGGTAGGTTTTCCATAATTTCCATGCAGCGATAGAATTTTAACTTAAAATTAATATAAGGATAATATATAAGTTTATGCATATAATATATATAAACAATAATTATGTGTATAAAATATATTAAATAGATCATGGATAGATAAATGCGAAGTAGCTAATTTATTCTAATGAGCAAGCAGGACTTGCCTATACGAGCCGGCTCGTATTCTCTTGACCTCTTGAAAAGGCTTGCCTCCGCTGCAAGCTTGCATGGCTTCTATATATATTAAGTATGCACGACTATACTGACTATGCTCCAAGCCGTCCCCTTGAGTAGGCTCGAATTCGCTCTATAAGACAGCTCTTAATTAATCTATTGGGCAGAGTCAACTTGGCTTCCATATAATATGGCTTTTATAACATACCAAGCACGTTTAATTCGGCTCGAAGCCTTTTTTTTAATTTATTGACCAGGTTTGATTTGGCTGCTAGCCTATACTTATGATAATAATCGTTTTATTAGCAACCAATTTTGCAGTTAGAGCTAAATCACACTGGTTTTACAACTGTAAGATACTATATAATTAAAATTAAATATATGTAGTAACATATGATTTAAGTCTTAAGAATCTTAAAAGTAGAAGTCACAATGGTTTTACAACCTGGGGCCGGTTGTATCAAGCCCGTTTAGCTTAAACGGTGGATAAGTCAAAATAAAATAACACTCTTTTCTCTCTCGTGAATCAGTCAACTTAAATATTCTGCACTGAATATGTAGTTGCAAACATTATCGTTCTATTAAAGTTCAAAACGTTTAGTTTGGTTGTTGAATGAATCTATAGACTTGCTTTCTATTTTGAGCTTAACCACTGTTTAAGCTAAACGGGCTTGATACAACCGGCCCCTGATATATAGTACTGTATAACTAGCGTGATGTAATAACATTCGATTTAAGAATATTGGAAGTTGATCATGAGAGTTAATAATGTTTTGTGTCGTATATAATGTTGCATTCTGTCATTGGTATAGTATTTGTAGGTTTTATGTCAATCCGAAATTCAAATTATTTACAAGTTTGTTTTGTTATGTGGCACTAATGCCTTCATATAAATGTTTAGAACGACTCTTTGCTATCTAATGGCAATAATTTTAGTGATAATTAATGATCTCAATTTATTATGTTGTTATGGTGCGTTATTTATGCGTCAAATATATTTTCCAATTAGGTATATTTTCAACCTTTAGGCTTCGGGTTCAAATTATATTAACGCTACCGTAACACAATAGCATGAAACCTTATACCTTTTATATATTTTATTTACTTTCAACAATATGAATTAGCGTCTCTATAATGTTATAATAATATAGTAATCTTAATATATCAACTTATCTCTCTATTTGTTTGAGCTGAGCACAACTTTGAATCTTTATTCTTTATACTTAGTATTCCGTCTTCTTTAATAATAATTATTCCACAATATTCCAATGTTCTTCAGTTTACTTGACGAGGCTTAATTATCTAGCCTTTTAATTATATACTTCAGCCTTTGTTGGCTTATGAAGTATTTTAGCCTAAATGGCTCTTCTCACTTCACTCTCCGCTCTCGACTCTCAGGTTGTGCTCAGCTTTTATAATAAATTTTAGAGGAAGAAATCTGTAACTATGACTAATTTCCTCTACGCAATATGTTTGTCAAAGCAAGTTCTAGCAGTGTTTATCAACCACAAAACTATGTCCTGTTTGCGTGGTTTGTGGTACTAGGCGTTTTCCGTGGTTCTTTAATCTCTCTAAATATTTGCTTATTCATGCGAGGAAGGTTGCCTAAGGTCTTCCTCTTATAATTATAACAGTATACTGAATATATAGTATTGAATATATTAAATAACATGGTATAACACTGCCATGTTACAATGTGTAGAACAATAGTTTAGCGCAACTGGTTTTGACACACAGCTAAAATTTTAAAATTCTGCTCAGAACTTTCAAATTCATTCACGAAATAGATTTCTCCCGTGATGTTTTTTTACTACAGTTACCTGGATTTATTTCTGTTCAACAGCCTTTATACTTTTGATCGAAATTGCTATTTTTAGTTCAGAAGAGTTCAATCCTCGGTATCCGGCCTACCCCTACTGGGTATAGCTGGTAGTGGTACAGTACATGTCTTGACTCACGTGACAACACAATACCAGGATCTCTCCGTAGCAAGGGGGGTGGACGGAGGTGAGATACTGGCATCGAGGTTGCAGTGACAGTGGCGTTAATTTTCGATAAAAATGGACAGATCAGCTTCCAGGCACTTGCATTTCTTCCTCTCACTAGAAAGGTCCTTTATAAGCCGGTTTACTTCATCTTCCCGGAGTTTGTGGCGCGGTTAATGGCGTTAGCTTTAATATAATTTTGCATAATCGTCATCTCAAGCTTCACCACTTCTAAATCGGCAGCTATAATAATGCACACCGATCGACAGTCACAATAAGATCCTTGCATTGATTTGCAATGCGGGGAGTCACTTCTCACCTCAATTTTATATGTGTTCGCAGACTATAGTATTGTTCCTAGCCGAGAACTTTGATTTTTGGACTTTCGGTACATGCTTCGACCACTGAATTCATCTCGGTTGCGCTGAGTACACAATTGGACATCAGCTGCTTATAGCCTCACTACGAATACATAAGTTTAATATAGCAAAACTAGTGAGCTTAAGCAAACAACGTTTTTGACAACACGAACGGCATGAGTAACGTCAGAAGACTGGGTCAAGGGCTGTGATTGGTGAAAAACGTCAACTTTACTTCCGGTCGACGTCCGTGTTGTCAAAAACGTCACTTGCTTAAGCTCACTACTGTCTCATTTACCACGGAAAAAGTTCAACTCCAGGCCAGTTCAGCTCCAAGCCAGTTCTTTATATAACTTAATGAGCAGTCTCAACTCCGCTGGGAGCCTTCTATTAAATTGAACATGCAGGTTTGATCAACTAAGCTCAGTAATATAAGATTAATTTTCTAATCCTAAGATAAATAACACAACTAACACATGAATCAGATCCTACATCCTTCAATCCTCAGATCATTGTCACTCGAATTGTGTCTCGGTTGTTACATTGTAGAACATTTATCTTATCTATCCTTAAATACATTAATCATTAAAACAGTGAGTACAAAATGTGTCTTTCCTGCATACTAACAAAATGAATATTTAATTATGGAGTAACTAGTAAGGCACTCCTCTGCGCCCTTTCCCAATATATTTCGGTTCGATCGGTACCTATATTACCACAAAAGAAAGTGTTATTAGTTGAGAATGACATACAGAAGGAGTAAGTACAAAATAAGGATTTAAAAGTACGAGAGAATTTTGGCATGCAGTTAGGCAGATGCCTAACTGCATGCCAAAATTCTCTCGTACTTTTAAATCTTTCTTTTGTACTAACTCCTTCTGTATGTTATTCTCAACTAATAACACTTTCTTTTGTTGCTATGACATATGTTTAATGATTTAGAGAAGTGATGGTCATCGTTCAAAATGCCAAAAGCAATTCAGTACTGAGCGAAAATCTTAGAACAAGCGATCTCAAACCATACCAGACAAACACGAAAGATCCCTATGTCACTGCTTATCTGAAAGCTGATGTTTTGCCTTTGGTTTTCGTGATCGGTGAGGGCAAAGACTATAATTCTGAAAAAGAAAAATATTTTAACCAACCTCTCAAACAAAATTCAAGTTATATCGTGTTCCTGAGATATTTTGAAAGTGAGGTATGAGATGGGGGTTATTCGGGTAATACATATACATTTCTCCCATGATAACAGTGCGAAGAAAAGAAAATAACATAACTATTATATTTCCGTTTAGGGCTCATACTACTCGACAAAATGGAGTAGCAATGTTAGAACAATGATAAGAGCTCCAGGTAAGTGATCCCTAGCTATTAAACTAGCTTAATTTATTCAATATTTTTTCATTACATATATTGCTCACCATACCAATCAAGAATATGCATTGACAAATGATCATTTGGAGAAAATTCCAAACTTTGTGAATATGTTAATAGTCACTTCACTTCACTTGGTATACGATATTGCATGTATACCAAGGGCCGTCAAACTCACTCGTTTGCTGCACTCCGTGCACTCGTTCGTTTAAGGAGATCCTTAACAACTCTATTACAAAGTCATAGCAGACTGGGTCAATATATTATAACAATGAGAAATTATAGTTTTGCTTGCGAACGTTGAAATCACTAGTGAGTACAAGTATAGCCCTTGATTACATATTCCTTGATAACATATCGCGCTGTTAAACACCAAATTTCCTACTTAGCTTTCTCGCAGTGCTCTGTTCCGTTCTTGCTCATACTGAATTTGCAAGGGAAATTTTGTCAAACAAACTTCCAATTGATTGCAGCGTGCCTAACTATATACAGTATGTTGTACCAGTGTCCTTTTCCGCATTTAGACAAAGCAAATGACATCAGCAGTGGAACAGAATGGTATATTGTTCTCGTATCATTGGTATCTGGGATTATCATTGGAATTCTTCTTTCCTACATTGTCTCATGTTATCGTCGTAAATTGAGAAGCACAAAATCTCAGTCAAACACTGAACCACAAGATGACGCAACTTATCAAGGGCTAGATCTGACAAAAATGAACCCGGAAGACAATTATGAATCATTGAGAGTGAATACCGCGAGTAATGACACGGAAAATGACGATAACTCTGCTTATACTTTAGTTAGTTAAAGTTAGCGACAAAGATGTGAAGAGTTAAACAGCAACTGATGTGGAGAACAATTACCAATCTTTAAATTGAATATTATTACTTCTTTTATTATTTAATTTGGTTAACATTTATCGAAGTGCTTGCCGAGGAGTCCAGGTAAACTGAGCCAAATGAGAGGTTTTTATTCAACTGTGAAGATGGAGGCCTTGACAGTTGAATCAAAATTGACTGATCCGCGGCCAGATCATATTTTTTGTTTTCGGTTTATAGTAGTCTTTTGTCTACAGTGATGAACACGAACAGGTTCGTTTCTGAAACATTTGACTTACGCATGTTTGAATCGTAGGTGCGCAGTACATCTGTACATGTCTATAATTCCTTATTGGCTGATTTGGCTCATACCTGCTAATTTTTAAAAAATGAAGCATTAGTGGAGTGAATTTCATTACATATTTAAAAGATTCATGGTTTCTGATTGGCTAACAGCAAACTGTGAAATGGGCACATACATTATCTACGCAATAGTTGACGAAATATGAACCGGAGTTTTTTCATAACATTCAACGGAGTGAAAAAATCATATTCAACGTTATGATGTCATGCAATGGAAATACGAATACGAAATGTGGAAACACGACCAAAACAATATGGCGCCGCCTTCGTCTTTGTTTGCAGCAAATGCCAAATTGCATGTTTAGGGAGTGTTCATTATTTATGGTTGGGGGGGGGGGCGGAATTTTACACCTCCGCCCTCTCAATATCTGCATGACCCTTTCTCCGGCAACAGGAAAATTCACATGACCCCCCAAGAAAAGACCAAAAACTTTAGTGATCCCCAATTTTATAAATCGCTAGAATACTGCTTGTTTAGTAATGAATTTGGCATCCGTATAAGTACAATTCTTACGCTGATTCGAACGATGGTATTTTTGTCCTTGTTGGCTCACTGGTGCATATAACCAGAGATAGTCGGCGCTGAGAGTCCAGGATTAAATTAATGTTTCCGCAAAAAGGAAATTCAGAGAACGTGCAAGGAATTTTTCTAGGTAGTTAAGGAAGCATTTGTCTCGGAACAAACTCCGCCCCCAAACGACCGTCTGCAACGGTAGCGGTGCCAAACTTGGCACGGACACCACAATTTTGCAACAGGGGACAGGTCACAAAAAATTCCTCAATTGGCCATATACTGGCACATGATTGTAGTACCTATTGTATCTAACAAGCGTATCACTATAGCCCCAGCGATTCAACGCTCCTTCGAGCGTCTTATTAAAACTAAAATTGCCTTGTAGTCTGTTGTCTACTGTGACTATGTTGCTTGTCAAGCTAAGCATTGCGGAGTAGGCATGTGTCTTTATGCCTACAGTAAAGATGTAAGTCATGTAACTGTTGTGTCTTCGCTCTCTTTGTGGCTATGGGTGGTTTTTCCTGATTATGTGTTCATTGACAATGTGTTTTGCGATTATGGATTTGAGATTGTTTACCAGTTCATGCAAATATTGCTAGCTTTAAATGTGTTCGTGTTTATTGAAGTTTAGCAAAGCTTGAAATGTGTACTGTTGTGGGAAATGTTTGCCAATGTGGATAAGCAAAATTCCTTCTGCCCAATCGATCATAACTCTTATTTTGATGCAAGGAATTGAACATCTCCCGACTATTCCAAGCCGAAGATTTCAAATTTTGAGAAATTGTCCAAAACACAAAGGCGGACCAAACGACGACTCTTGTCTCTCCTTACGATTCAGGCAAAATTTCGAAAGTTCATAAAACATGTATTAGGAAAGTTTATAACGCTCATTTTGATGCAAGGAAAGGTTTTCCAATATTTTCAAGCTTAATTTCAAATTTTCGAAAAATTTTAAACACAAACCGGTGCCAAATGATGCCTGTAATCCACCCTTGACATGAGTGGAGCTACGACTGTGCGAACCCAGACGTCATCAACCTCGTACCCAGGCTCTTTCCACTACGCTCCTCGCTAAAGACGTTCCTCCTAAAGAGGGAAGAGCCTGGGAACGAGGTTGAGACGTCATTTCCGACGCTCATTCCAAGCGAAGAATGAGCATCGAAAATGACGTCTGGGTTCGCAGACTAGGGCTGTGCCTGAGGATGATTATCTTGGTCTGAACATGATTGTCTGAGTCTGCCGTTGCGATTGATAATACAAAAGTTGTTCTCATTATATTCCTTTGAGTTTTCACAATATATTCTTTCACAGAATAATTTTAGCACCAAGACATAAGCGTTTGCAATTATATGCATGCAATGGGGAAAAAATCGCCCATTTAAATCCGTTCGGTCGCGTTAGACAAGTTTTAAGATACAACAATAACAACACGTACGCAATAACACACGTGTGGGTTTTACACGCTTCTCTCTACAATGCTCGTAGACTGCATCCCGCTCCCCCTGGTTCACAGGATGACCGGTCTACTGTCATTCGACGCTAATGCCGTACAGCTACCGGCGAAATATGATCGGCGCGCAGTTTTTCATTGGTTCGTTTCAAAATTCAGTACTTGCATAAATTTGCTTAGCTAATTTCGACACGAGTATACCGATTTTACCGTTACAAAAAGTTTCTAGGTGCTGTTGGGCAGATATTGCCACACAACAGAGCATTTAATTTTTGGGGATGAATAAATTTTGTAGAATTTACAAATCTGGCATAGTTTTTGCGAGTTTATGTTTCGATTTTGTTGTGTTGTACCTGATTGGATAAAGTGCACAATATTATATCTATTTATACAATACTACGTCACTGTACAGCATTGACAAATGATCGCAGATTACTTCTCTCGTATTCTCCCAACATTCTTCGCGTGCATTATCACACCATAAACGCACGCGACTCGTAATTTCTATTTCTTAAATATACTGTATAGTCGCTTTTGTCTTAGTGCAAAATGATATTGTTGATGAGCACGTCTTCATTAACGTTGCCATTGTGTTTCCAAAACTCAATCTCACTGAGTCTGGAACGGTTAGAACGGAAAAGGCAGAAAAGAAATCTCTTATATTTTTACATTCAAGCCAAAGGATGCATTAGACTTCATTTGCCTCTCAAAAATAAAGGGGCGGATTCAGACAGGTTTGACGTACTATTTAAAAAACGAGCAGGAGTGTTTTATTAGGTTTAAACTACGACCTGCGAGTTTTTTAAATGGCTTCATAATAAGTCAAATCTTTATATAAAAATCTTTATATAAAAATCTTTATATAGTTTGCATAACAATGGTCTTTTGTTTGTTAAAGTGTTCTTTAGCTGGTATAAAGACGTATGCACGTGACTAATTTCTTACTCAAGATTGGATAATTGCTTGATGATGATGATGATAAACTTTATTTAAAAATCACACGCTAGCCTCGTCAACTTTCGCTTCATGAATTATTAATGAGTTTTTGAAAGGTTAATATAAACCTGTCAGATTTTCCAAAGAATTAAGAAAATCTATAACCTTCCATGTACATATATAACTAATTTAAAGAATATTCTGTTTCATAAACTTGATGTTGGCTAATCTATTACGCCATTTAAATACTCTTATTGAAATTTGATTCTGGATTATCGAGCGTATTTAGACCCTTATCGCGTTGGTTTCCTCTTAGCTAATGTATCGTCGTGGGTCGTGGACTGAAACATCGCATGAATCACACATAACCGCCCGCAATTATGAGTAAACCGGTGGTCAG